TAATTGACAGCAAGTCGACAGCCACCTGACCGACTGGTACCCGTCGACGAGCGGCGTTCCTCAGGGGACGGTGCTTGGCCCCATTCTCTTCCTGATTCACATCAACGACGTGCCCAATCTTCTTCGGTCGCCGTGTGCCTTGTTCGCGGATGACCTGAAGCTATGGTGGGTGATCCATACGTCGGACGACTTTGACATACTTCAGCAGGACCTCGACCGCCTCTCCATGTGGTCCGCCGAAGTAAGTTTGCCTATCAACTCGGCAAAATCGCTACTTCTGTGCCTCGGTAAAGGTGGAGCGGGCCGATCGTACACTCTCGACGGCCAAGTTCTACACCCGACGCATTGCGTCAGAGACCTTGGCATTATACAACGTTACGACATGAAGTCACTGGACAACACGGACAATATGTATCGCACAGCATTGCGTTCGCTGTGGGCGCTGAAACGTAGCTTCTGCACCTGGTCGAAAGAGATTGCCACTCGTCTCTTCACATCCATTGTACGACCGGTGCTAGAATACGGCTCACCCGCCTACTGTCCGTTGACGAAGGGCGAGATACACAAGCTCGAAAGAGTACAACACATAGCCACACGGCTCATTCCCGGTCTTCAGGGTGTGCCGTATGAAGAAAGATGCAGACAATTGGGTCTGTATACTCTAGCCTACCGCCGCGTGCGAGTGGACCTCATCATGACCCATCGGGTATTGCAACTGGGTGCTTATCCGATGCTGAAGCCACTGCTCCATGTCCGTGCGTCAAGCAGCACATGAGGTCACCAGTACAAACTGGTAGTCCCTGACCTCAAGTGGGTAGCTCATCCCTTGTGTCTTGAGCGGCGAGTGGTGAACATGTGGAACCGTTTGCCCTCGCGGATAGTAGAAGCGAACTCGGTGTCGGAATTCAAACGATTCCTGGACGCGCACTTTGCGGATGCCAGATTCGACGAAGCCTTCACAGGAAACTGACGAAGGAATCGTTCAATGATTATAACCCATGGAGCCCGTGGATCCACCAACTGCAGCTTCCGAAACGATGCCCATCCGTAATAGGCGGCGGAGCTGGTGAAGGACTCCATGTGGTTCATCCAAGAATATATCGTAAGTACATGGAGTTTTTTTCTATGCTTGTAAATATTTTACTTTTTTCACCTAGGCTAGCTCACTACTACAGGTAACACTGTGTCAGTGGGACATGTCCTACATTGAGATATAGCTACATAGATGTTCAACATCTTTCTCGCTATCATGACAGTAAAGTAAAGTAAAGCAACCGAAGCGCCAACAGAGTAAAACCATCTGCAGCCACCATCCCACCGTACCTATCGGAAGCTTATCGGCAAAAGTCCCTTATAAGGCCAGGCTATCCGGTTTCCATGGCGACATTCAACGTGCGCACTCTAAGGCAAACAGGTCAACAGGCTTCACTCGCACGCACCTTGGACACACTGAGTATTGGTGTGTGTTGTGTGTCCGAAACTAGGCTCAATGACCCTAACGGGGTTATTGAATTGACTGCACCCGGCTTATCCTCTCGTTATTGGTTGCACGCATCCGGAGACGCCGATGCGGCACTCACGGGTCAAGCTGGTGTAGGTAACATTCTAAGATCCAAGGCTGAACCATCGTTGGTTGATTGGATTCCGGTGAACAGCCGTTTATGTGCAGCCCGTTTGACGACATCAGCTAAAATTGATCCACGAAGTAGTACAAGACGCTGTTTGTGTGTGATTGCCGTTTATGCTCCCACCGACTGCAGTTCGGATGTTGTCAAGGACACATTCTATGACGAACTGAACGCGCTACTACGCAGTGCCACTAGTTCAGATATTATAGTACTTGCAGGGGATATGAACGCACAAGTAGGGCGTCTGAGCTCTTCAGAAGCTCAGCTGGGCGGTAATTGTGGACTTATCTCCGAACGGACTGACAACGGCGAGCGTCTGCTGCAACTGTGTGCGGAACACCAGTTGTTTCTTAGTAGCACTGCTTTTAGACACAGTGGGCGCCAAAGTGCCACTTGGCGTCCACCTGTAGCTGGCCAGCGATGGACCCAAATTGATCACATAGCCATAAGTTACAGATGGCGTGGTTCCATTCTGGATTGCCGCTCGTACTGGAGTACCTGTGTCGACTCTGATCATGCCTTGGTGCGCTGTCGTTTCTCCATGAACTTTACCGGAAGGCGCACAAAGCGTCTCCTCCGATTAGCAACGGAGAAATTGTCCCAGCCCTCGATCAAACAAGCCTACCAAGACGCACTGCATACCGAACTTCCGCTGCCTTGTCCTAATGACACTGAACTTCTGTAGAATATTATCTCGGCCGCCATGCACGACGCAGGAGCATCTGCTTGTGGCACTATCAGTCGTCACCGCACCAGTCACTGGATATCCGAGAGGTCGGTGAACCTGTTGGAAGCTAGAAGACACCTTCCGGCTGCTTCTGAACACAATGTGATCAGACGCGCTATTACGCGCGAACTAAAGCAGAGCCTACGTGCTGACAAGGAAACCTGGTGGGTCAGCAGAGCTCAAAAACTGGGGAAGGCAGGAGCAGTAGGCAATTAGCGCCAGCTCTTCCTGCTCATCCGCACCACTGGTCCCAGAAAACCAGGCGTCAGTGAGACAATCTGAAACAGCGCGGGTGCACTGCTACACAATAAGGAGCGTCGTATGGCATGTTAGGCTGAACAACTTGAAGATCAGTTCAGCTGGCCCCTTGCACCCGGACCTTTTCCTACTCAGGTGATGCAGGACGAACCATGGACGGTTAGTTTAGAGCCTCCGTCGGAGACCAAAGTCTGCAACGCGATCACAGCCCTCAACCGTTTTCGTGCCGCTGGCCAGAATTCTCTCCTGCATGCACTATTTAAGGATGGAGATGAGGTCCTCTGCAATGCACTGACTTCCCTATTCGAACGTATTTGGAAGGAAGTTTACCGGCTCATTGGAGCGAATCGATTATAATGGCAATGTACAACAAGGGCAGTCGCACAGGCTGTTCTAACCACAGGGGTATTAGCCTAACGCCAGTTGTTACAAAATTACTGGCCTCGATTATCGTTGGTCGCCTCACTGCAGAAGGAGAATCTCGGATTAGGGAGGAGCAGGCCGGTTTCCACCCAGGACGTGGCTGTATAGACCATATCTTTACTTTGCGGCAGGTGTTAGAGCAGCGCCACGCATACCGCAGACCGACAATAGCTGTGTTCCTCGATTTCAAGAGTGCGTTCGATTCGGTTGATCGATCGATTCTGTTCGAAATTCTTGCGCGGAAACGTGTTCCCACGAAATATGTGAACATTCTTCGTGCTCAATACTAGAACACTACTGGCGGCGTAAGAGTCTACGGTGGCATATCGAATGGCTTTCCGAGGACAAGTGGCGTTCGTCAGGGTTGTCCGATTTTCCTGTTTTTGTTCAATTTCGTCGTGGATTCTATCATGGAGTGTTCCCTGACGGAATCCGACGATGTAGGCGTTGAAGTGCTGCCTGATGATAGGTTAGTTGACCTAGATTATGCGGACGATATCGTGTTGCTTTTCGAGAAAGTTAGGGCGGTCGAATCAACTCTGAATAGTCTCCTGTAGTGGTCCCATTTTTTGACATGCACTTTGCGCCTTCAAAGTGCAGTGTTGCTGCAGGACCACCAGCCACTTTATGACCCCTTGACGCTTGTTAACGAGGAACTCGAGGTAGTTGATCATTTCACATATCTTGGCAGCTGCATCAGCAATGGTGGGCGCGTAGAAACTGACGTGAGCTCACGCATTGCAAAGGCCAGAGCTGCCTTCTTGAACCTGCGTCATCTTTGGCGACAGAAAGGAGTTTCCCTCCGTCTGTAAGGTCGTGTATACAAGGCCACAGTGAGGGCCGTTCTGCTGTATGGTAGTGAGACTTGACCCCTTCGGTCTGAAGATCTGAGGCGCCTTCAAGTCTTTGATCATCGTTGTCTGCGAAGCATTGCTGGTGTCGGAAGGCACCAGCGTATCCCCAACGATGATGTGCGTAGAAGAGTACTAGGTATTGATAATCGTGCTAGCTCCCTAGCACAACAGATAGCACTGAATGAGTTGTGTTGGCTCGGGCACGTGCTACGCATGCCTGGTCACCGCTTACCTAGGAGAGTTTTGTTCAGTCTGCCAGGTGTAGGGTGGCGCAAGGCTCGAGGTGGACAGAAGTTGACTTGACAGCGGGAAAGGAAGTCACTGATAACCAAACTGGGTGCCGTTGGTATGTCTCGTCTTCCGGGCTGGAGTCCACCTGACTCGCCTTGTGCTTTGTTCGAGAGTTTACAGGACATGGCTCGCAACCGACACCAGTGGCGCGTCGTCTGCCGTCTTCTACTCGGATTGCCTGTTTAAATTGTGTTTGGTGCTGAGTTATTTGCGGGGTAATGATTGATTATGACGCGTGGCAGTGAAAGCCGCAAGGAAGCTGTCTCGCCGATGCCGCCTTATCTTTGCACGATAGCCAGCTGTTTGTGACGGTATATTGTCTACACAAGGTGTAGGCGCCTTGACCCTGAATGTTTTCTTAGGGCATGGTTTTCAGGTAAGTCCCCTTCTCTCCCTCTTCTTATTCTTTATTTCATAGGTCCTCATGGTTGTATGGCAGTGAAGCATCAGTTCAAATGGCTGATGTACTGCTGTTGATGATGATAAAGATCGGTCCAGACTTGTCCTGGCTATTTAGTCCCGCCAAGCTGCCTGGTCTCCGAGTTCACCCGTTGAAACTGCACAAACTGCGTTCTGACCGGGTAAGGACGGAAACTTGCTTGTCGCACCGAGTTATTGAAGGTTGAAACTCGCTTCCGCTGCAAGTCGTTAGGATGCCTACGGTAGAAGGTTTCGAGCCTCAGTTACATGTTCTTGGGTGGCAATACCAAACCTTCCCCTTCTCCTAACCGACTTGTATCTTCAACTTTCCCTCCGTTTTTCTAATTTCTCACACCTTGGTATTATTATTATTTAGCTGACATTCCTCCTTATATTTTAGCTCACCCTTTACTTTTAGTTCACATAAACCGGCCTGGCAGGGACTGCTAATCAGGAAAATTTGAGCAGTAATTGGTTGGACAGGGTGTGATGCGGTCTCTTTTAGGCTTTTCACATCTTACGCAGACCTATCAATTCCCGATCTGACGCTACGCAAAACAGGAACATTCACGGAATTATCTTATCATTCAAGTTCCAACTGAACTTGAACTTCAAAATGAAGCTCGAATGTTGACGTTGCGGTTGCCTTGGCTTGCCTACCGACGCACAAAACGGGACGCTCGTTAGGCGAATGCCGGTTTCGTCCTTGAAGATCTGCCCTAACCTTAAGATTGGCTACTTGTAGCTCTGCATGCTTGCTGTAGCGCATCGGAGTGTCCCTACAGAAAGTCAACAGGTAAGCTGTCGTTGAGAATAACCTACATGGTGATTGTCCTTTCCTCTTTCACTTGCCTTCCCATTTCTTCAGTAGTATTAGAGCAGCCATCTCTTGTTCGTGTTTCCACGCTATCCATCCAGTCACATCGCGCCCGGTCCCCCATCCGCAGCTGTGACACTCCGTCCAGCTCGTCATGCCATGCAGCATGGGCACACCCTCAATTCAGCTCCGACACCTTTTATGCGAATGAGAAATAATTGTCCAGCCACCTACGAAGTAGCTCTTTTTCCTTTCAGTCCTCGGTCTACCACGACCTACGTACGCCTTGGAAACGGAAACCCTCGGAACCCTTAACCGGGCGCACATTACACTTGGGTTCAGCTGCAGTGGATTTCTTAGATATCTGCTCCGATCTGCCCATCGATCTTACCTTCTGATGGAGTGGAATTTATCTTGCTCGGGGTTGGTGTGACAAAGGTGTCATCATCATCATCAACAGCAGTACATCAGCCATTTGAACTGATGCTTCACTGCCATACAACCATGAGGACCTATGAAATAAAGAATAAGAAGAGGGAGAGAAGGGGACTTACCTGAAAACCATGCCCTAAGAAAACATTCAGGGTCAAGGCGCCTACACCTTGTGTAGACAATATACCGTCACAAACAGCTGGCTATCGTGCAAAGATAAGGCGGCATCGGCGAGGCAGCTTCCTTGCGGCTTTCACCGCCGCGCGTCATAATCAGCCATTACCCCGCAGATTACACAACACCAAACACAATTTAAACAGGCAATCCGAGTAGAAGACGGCAGACGACGCGCCACTGGTGTCGGTTGCGAGCCATGTCCTGTAAACTCTCGAACAAAGCACAAGGCGAGTCAGGTGGACTCCAGCCCGGAAGACGAGACATACCAACGGCACCCAGTTTGGTTATCAGTGACTTCCTTTCCCGCTGTCAAGTCAACTTCTGTCCACCTCGAGCCTTGCGCCACCCTACACCTGGCAGACTGAACAAGACTCTCCTAGGTAAGCGGTGACCAGGCATGCGTAGCACGTGCCCGAGCCAACACAACTTATTCAGTGCTATCTGTTGTGCTAGGGAGCTAGCACGATTATCAATACCTAGTACTCTTCTACGCACATCATCGTTGGGGATACGCTGGTGCCTTCCGACACCAGCAATGCTTCGCAGACAACGATGATCAAGGACTTGAAGGCGCCTCAGATCTTCAGACCGAAGGGGTAAAGTCTCACTACCATACAGCAGAACGGCCCTCACTGTGGCCTTGTATACACGACCTTACAGACGGAGGGAAACTCCTTTCTGTCGCCAAAGATGACGCAGGTTCAAGAAGGCAGCTCTGGCCTTTGCAATGCGTGAGCTGACGTCAGTTTCTATGCGCCCACCATTGCTGATGCAGCTGCCAAGATATGTGAAATGATCAACTACCTCGAGTTCCTCGTTAACAAGCGTCAAGGGGTCATAAAGTGGCTGGTGGTCCTGCAGCAACACTGCACTTTGAAGGCGCAAAGTGCATGTCAAAAAATGGGACCACTACAGGAGACTAATCAGAGTTGATTCGACCGCCCTGACTTTCTCGAAAAGCAACACGATATCGTCCGCATAATCTAGGTCAACTAACCTATCATCAGGCAGCACTTCAACGCCTACATCGTCGGATTCCGTCAGGGAACACTCCATGATAGAATCCACGACGAAATTGAACAAAAACAGGAAAATCGGACAACCCTGACGAACGCCACTTGTCCTCGGAAAGCCATTCGATATGCCACCGTAGACTCTTACGCCGCCAGTAGTGTTCTAGTATTGAGCACGAAGAATGTTCACATATTTCGTGGGAACACGTTTCCGCGCAAGAATTTCGAACAGAATCGATCGATCAACCGAATCGAACGCACTCTTGAAATCGAGGAACACAGCGGGCCATCGGCACGAAAACGGTTGAGGGCTGTGATCGCGTTGCAGACTTTGCTCTCCGACGGAGGCTCTAAACTAACCGTCCATGGTTCGTCCTGCATCACCTGAGTAGGAAAAGGTCCGGGTGCAAGGGGCCAGCTGAACTGATCTTCAAGTTGTTCAGCCTAACATGCCATACGACGCTCCTTATTGTGTAGCAGTGCACCCGCGCTGTTTCAGATTGTCTCACTGACGCCTGGTTTTCTGGGACCAGTGGTGCGGATGAGCAGGAAGAGCTGGCGCTAATTGCCTACTGCTCCTGCCTTCCCCAGTTTTTGAGCTCTGCTGACCCACCAGGTTTCCTTGTCAGCACGTAGGCTCTGCTTTAGTTCGCGCGTAATAGCGCGTCTGATCACATTGTGTTCAGAAGCAGCCGGAAGGTGTCTTCTAGCTTCCACCAGGTTCACCGACCTCTCGGATATCCAGTGACTGGTGCGGTGACGACTGATAGTACCACAAGCAGATGCTCCTGCGTCGTGCATGGCGGCCGAGATAATATTCTACAGAAGTTCAGTGTCATTAGGACAAGGCAACGGAAGTTCGGTATGCAGTGCGTCTTGGTAGGCTTGTTTGATCGAGGGCTGGGACAATTTCTCCGTTGCTAATCGGAGGAGACGCTTTGTGCGCCTTCCGGTAAAGTTCATGGAGAAACGACAGCGCACCAAGGCATGATCAGAGTCGACACAGGTACTCCAGTACGAGCGGCAATCCAGAATGGAACCACGCCATCTGTAACTTATGGCTATGTGATCAATTTGGGTCCATCGCTGGCCAGCTACAGGTGGACGCCAAGTGGCACTTTGGCGCCCACTGTGTCTAAAAGCAGTGCTACTAAGAAACAACTGGTGTTCCGCACACAGTTGTAGCAGACGCTCGCCGTTGTCAGTCCGTTCGGAGATAAGTCCACAATTACCGCCCAGCTGAGCTTCTGAAGAGCTCAGACGCCCTACTTGTGCGTTCATATCCCCTGCAAGTACTATAATATCTGAACTAGTGGCACTGCGTAGTAACGCGTTCAGTTCGTCATAGAATGTGTCCTTGACAACATCCGAACTGCAGTCGGTGGGAGCATAAACGGCAATCACACCCAAACAGCGTCTTGTACTACTTCGTGGATCAATTTTAGCTGATGTCGTCAAACGGGCTGCACATAAACGGCTGTTCACCGGAATCCAATCAACCAACGATGGTTCAGCCTTGGATCTTAGAATGTTACCTACACCAGCTTGACCCGTGAGTGCCGCATCGGCGTCTCCGGATGCGTGCAACCAATAACGAGAGGATAAGCCGGGTGCAGTCAATTCAATAACCCCGTTAGGGTCATTGAGCCTAGTTTCGGACACACAACACACACCAATACTCAGTGTGTCCAAGGTGCGTGCGAGTGAAGCCTGTTGACCTGTTTGCCTTAGAGTGCGCACGTTGAATGTCGCCATGGAAACCGGATAGCCTGGCCTTATAAGGGACTTTTGCCGATAAGCTTCCGATAGGTACGGTGGGATGGTGGCTGCAGATGGTTTTACTCTGTTGGCGCTTCGGTTGCTGTCAATTAAGCTGGGAATTATAGAAAGAAGGTTAGTAATGGGGACCGAGATGGGAGTAAGAGAAAAAGGTGGAAAATAATGAAGGGAGGCGCCAACATTAACATGTTTTCGCTTATCCGCCCTGTTGTATGCAGCAGATAAGGCGACCCTTGATAATCTGCGCGACGGGCGATGCAGGATGAAATTTATGTTTGAAGAAAATTTTATGGTTGTATGTGGGGTGAGATACTGCCAGGGCGCCCAGACCTAGACAGGAGGACGATTAGGGTCCTCATTCAAAGCCTTTGGCTCAAAAGCCTGTCCGCAAGACAGCGGGTTGGCAGTGATTTAGTTTTACAGAAATGGACGCCATCCCATTTCAAACCCCCAACCTGGAGGACCAGGAGACTGAGTATATCTGACCTCCCACCATTGACCAACATGGTAGGAGTAGCTCTCAAGGTGCCCGGAGGCATCACCCAGTATTGCTCAATGGGTCAATGAGGTACGCAAACCGTCGCACCACGTTAACGACTAGTCTCGTTGCGACGGTGATAAAGGTGTCCATTATTATGTTTAGCGGGAGTGCTCGAGGACTGATGTCATACGTTGTGTCCGCCTGGCTTAGACGTAGCTGCGATGCAGCCACCGCGTTGCATCATTTACTTATACTTTCTAAAATACTCGTCTTTGGCAAGCAATGACAACAGCTTCAGGCCATTCATTGTACTCGTGTTTGTAATCCCGAGCGTATACAGCTGTTCCGACATTGTGGTCATGAGTATTCTCTGCCCCAAAAGGCAGATGTGAATCGCTCTTCGGGACGAAAGTTTGGTGGACTGTACGCAGTTTACGGCGCATCAGAGCTACATCTGGGAAACGACCCTCTGATATCGCCAGGTTGTGAATGGTTAGATACACAAACAAAAAAGTTCGCTGCCTTTCCTTAGTATTCCTCTCCCCATGTGACCTCAGCATCACTCGCTTGTATGTATCAACAAGACGTTCGGCTTGGCCACCCGACTGAGGATTGTAAGACGGGGCCTTGTGTGTTGGATGTTCATCGGAATACAGGTCGGCGTTCTGTTCTGAAGCAAACTGGGACGCATAATCTGTAACATTACGTCTGGCAAACCGTGCTGACTATGGATCTTTCGAAGGACTGAACTCGTGTTGCTTGAGGTCGCCTGGCCAAATGGAGTAAGCGTCGACAAGGACGAGGTACAACACTCCATCGATGGGACCAGCTAAGCCTAGGTACCGATGGGACCATGGTTCTCGAGACGGTCACCACGGTTCTTGCCTAACAGATAGCTTGTTAGCATTTCGAACACCTTCTGAAAAATTGATGTATGTGGACATCCATACCAGGCCAGTAGACATAACAGGGTGCGATTGTTTCCATCGTATTGATGCCCGGATAACCAAAGTTAAACTGGCGGAGAACAGCTGGACGGAGGGAGGACGGTAGAACAACTTAGTCGGCAAACATAAGGCAAGAATCAATGATAGATA